AGCTATATAAGGAGAGTTGCAGGCCTTGGAAGCAAGCTGTGATTATCAAGCTCTTGGGAAAAAAGGTTGGTGTAAAGTTTCTGCTGAACAGACTCTTGAAGATGTGGAATCTGTCGGGGACACATGAGTTCATTGATATGGAGAACGATTACTTTTTGTTTCGTTTTGCGGATTTGAATGACTACAACTTTGTTTTGGAGGAAGGGCCTTGGATTGTGGCAGACCATTATGTTTCTGTTCAACGGTGGCGGCCATTATTTGATCCTTACGAGGACAACCTTAAAAAATTAGCTGTTTGGATCCGTATTCTGGGGTTACCTATGGAGTTCTATACCTCCCAACATTTGCGGAACATAGGTGATCTATTTGGGAAAACACTGAAGATTGATAGGAACTCTATACGTAAAAGTGATGCTGGTGATGGGGTTGTTACGGAAAGGGCCAAGTTTGCGCGTATTTGCGTAGAAGTAGATCTCAGTAAAGGCTTCTTGTCTAAATTCAATCTCATTAATAAGGTTTATACGGTAGGGTATGAAGGCCTTCACATGATCTGCTTTGCATGTGGTAAGTATGGGCATAGGCGTGACACTTGTTCTTCGGTTTCGGTGTCAACCGATAGTCATTCTCACCAAAAGGATGTTCGTGCAGAGGTTGTTAACAATGGTGTCAAGCGTGAGATGGCAGAAGGTGAAGCTTTTGGTTCTTGGATGATTGTCCAAAGGAGTCAACGGGGAAGGAAGGCAAAAGCTACCATGGAGACTGCCGCAATCAATGCTGCCGCAATCAATGCTACCGCAATCAATGCAGCCGGGAATCAGGGGTCATCCGTTACAACTGGCCAAAGGAGAATTAATGCTCAAGGAATAAATCATTCTGTTTCACGTCCAGCTAAAATCAAGCAGCAGAAACCCGATAATCATGTGGGAATTAAATCGGCTGGATCAAGATTTTCAGTTATTTCTGACGAAGTTAATGATAATCATGATGTTAATAATGAGAATATTCAAATCATTAATGATAAGCATGGCCCCTCTAAGGTAACCGCTAGTGCTGATTTGAAAAAGGGTTTAAATAATAAGATTTCGAATTTTCCTCGTGATAAACGTCATCTTTCAGCAGCTATTCTCCCTAGCTCAAATACAGTTACAAATTTGGTGGGACCCTCTATGCCAAATCAAAATCTAAGTGGCCCTGAGCTTATGCCAGTTGTTCAAAAAGGTACTGTTATTCCTCAGGTAGAAGAAAGGATTTTGTCTCGACCACAAGAGGCTACCGTTTCCAAGTCTTCTACTTTGTCGCAAAACGGAAAAAGAAAGAGTTACGTGATGAAATTAACAGGAATAAAAAGGCAGTTGCCTTATCTATTGTCCCAAAGAGTTTTAAGCAAAGGGCTAAGCCGTTCATTGCTTCGAGCTCGGCAAAAAAAATTTCAGCAATGGACATTAATGGCAGAAAGCCTCTTGTTCTCTCTTCTACATCATCTCCTCCACATGTGGTAACCCCTCAGATTCCGGTAAAAGGGAGGATGGGGTTGATATTTCCATAATAACGCATGACAACAAGAGTCCGGGTACTCTTTCCAGCTCGAAGGATGTTGAGGCTTCGAATGCTAGTTTGAGACCTGCTGATGTACCCTCGGTGATGCGGGATAGTTTTGATCTCCCCAAAGTCTAATGACAGGGTGTTTTTCATCCTTTCTCATTATTTTTTGTGGTTTTTTGATGAGTGTGTGTGTTTGGAATTGCAGGGGGGCCGGAAAAAAGGGTTTTTCTCCCCTTATTAGGGACTTGTCTCGTCGTTTTAATATTCAAGTTATGGCTTTGCTTGAAACTCGTATCGGAGCTGACCGTGCTCAGAAGGTGGTGAAAGGCTTTGGCTTTCAAAAGCATGTTATGGCTCATCCTCAAGGTTTTTCTGGTGGTATGTGGGTGTTATGGAATGATGATGAAGCTCAGATTCAGATTTTAGAGTCTCATCGTCAGTTTATCCATTTAAAAATTTTTTGGCGTAATAGGAGGAAGGAGGAAGCTGTTACTTTTGTTTATGCCAGTCCGCGGCGTCTTGAGAGGGTGTCTCTGTGGGATGCTCTAGGAAGGTTACAACAGCAATCCTCGGAGGCTTGGTGCATTTTGGGAGATTTCAATTCTTATTTGCATGCAGCAGAAAAGGAGGGAGGTGGCCCGCCTGATTGGAGGAGTATTTATGATTTCCAAAATTGTATTATGAACTGCAATCTGGAAGACTTGGGTCATCAGGGGCCTACTTTCACTTGGCATAGAGGCAGATTGAAGGAACATCTTGATAGAGTTTGTACGAATGAGCAGTGGCAATTGTCCTTTCCTGACAGGGTTGTGACTCATCTTCCCTGCTACTGCTCGGATCATAGACCTCTTCTTCTCTGGGAGGGTCCTTCTCCTCACCATCCTGGAGGGAGCCGTCCATTTAGATTTCTGGCAGCCTGGCTCACTCATGAGGATTTCCCTGGCCTAGTGCAGGAGTGTTGGAATGGGAGTACAGGTTGGGGCACAACTAGTGAAACTTTTCGATCGAATGCTTCTCACTGGCATAGGGAGTGCTTTAGGGAAGATGCCAAGCTTAAGAATAATCTTCAGGCGAGACTAAGGGGTATTGACCGTAGTCTTAGTCACCATCCTTGCCATGCTCTAGAAATTCTGCAGAAAGATCTTTGGCGTCAGTTGAATCTCATTTATATTCGGGAGGATCTTACTTGGTTTCAGCGGTCTAGGGCTAGCTGGTTGAAATATGGTGACCGGAATACGAAATTCTTCCATTCTACTACAGCTGCTAGGAGGAGGAGAAATCGTATTGATGCTCTGAAAAATGATGCGGGTGATTGGATTGGTGATCCCTCTATTCTGATGAATATGGCGGTGGAGTATTATCGTAATTTGTTTAAAGAGGATAATACTGCTAGACCTGGGCTTCCAATTAGAGGCTATTTTCCTCACCTTGTGCAAGAGCACAACATTCATATTGGTAGCATTCCTTCGAATGAGGAGATTAGGAGTACAGTTTTTTCCATGGGACCTCACAAAGCTCCAGGGGTGGACGGTCTTCATAGTCTATTTTTCCAATCTCAATGGGATACTGTAGGAAGCTCTGTTTGTGATCTGGTGAAAGATGTGTTTAATAATCCCCAAAAAGTTTGGGATATTAATCAAACTCTTATTTGCCTGATCCCGAAGATAACTTCACCTCAATCCCTTAAAGATTTCCGGCCTATTAGCCTTTGTAATGTTATTTATAAGACTATTACTAAGCTTATTGCTAACCGTTTGAAATTGCAGATGGATAAAATTGTTATGCCTAACCAGTGTAGTTTCATCAAAGGAAGGCAAGGGACAGATAATGTAATTATTGCTCAGGAAATTATTCACTCTATGAGGTCAAAGAAAGGCGCCAAAGGTTGGATGATGATTAAGGTGGATCTGGAGAAAGCTTATGACAGAATTAGCTGGGACTTTCTCCGAGATACTCTCGGGATGTGGGACTCCCCCCAAATCTCATTAATCTTGTTATGTGGTGTGTTTCTTCTTGTTCGATGAATGTTCTTTGGAATGGTTCTACAACTCAGGAGTTTTTCCCATCCAGGGGGCTTAGACAGGGTGACCCTTTGTCCCCATATTTATTTATTCTTTGTATGGAGCGACTTGGTCATCTCATTTCCCATGCAGTTAGGCAAAAGTGCTGGAAGCCGATCATGTTGAGGAGAAATGCTCCTCCCATTTCTCACCTCTTTTTTGCGGATGATCTTATTCTTTGTGCGGATGCATCCTTTGATCAGGCCCAAACCATTTCCAAGGTGCTAGATGATTTTTGTCTTTCTTCTGGGCAAAAGGTTAACCATGAAAAAACAAAAATTCTCTTCTCCCACAATGTGAATCATATTTTGGCAGAGGAACTTAGTGGTGAGTTGGGCTTCTCAAGGACGGTGGATCTTGGAAAGTATTTGGGTATTCCTCTTCATCATCGCAGAGTTGGGAGGGCGGCTTTCAGTCATATCCTCGATCGAGTTCAATCTAGGATTAATGCCTGGAACCACACCAGTCTTTCTCTAGCAGGAAGAATTACACTTTCGAAAGCTGTTCTCTCAGCTATTCCAGCCTACACAATGCAAGTTTCTGTTGTTTCCCTCGGAATCTGCAATGATATTGAGAAACATATTAGGAGGTTTTTGTGGGGTTCTAATAGAGAATCTACTCGTCCTCATCTGGTTGCGTGGGATCAGTTGTGCATGGATAAAGATCATGGAGGGCTGGGTCTGAGGAAAATGAAGGAAGTTAACAGGGCTTTTATTATGAAAATTGGTTATGGGATCCTTTCTAATCCAGACGCGCTTTGGGCTAGAGTTTTAAAGAGCAAGTATAAAGTTCAGTCTGATTTGGTTCCTAATATTTCTGCTACTCGGAATAGCTCCTCTCTTTGGAAAGCAATTGTTTCGTCTTAGCCTGTGATATTACAGCATTCCAGAATTTTGCTAGGTAATGGAAATTCTACTCATTTTTGGGATGACCCGTGGGTTCCGGGTTGTGGTGCACTCTCATCCTATGCTGCTATTTCTGATCCCTCTCAGATAAATCATCAGCTAATGGTCTCTGATCTTGTCTCATCCTCCGGAAGTTGGATGTGGGGGGCTTTCCAGCATAGTCTTCCCGATCACGTCAATGCTCGTATTAATAACATCCTTCCTCCTTCGGATGTTAATGGTCATGACCGAATTTTGTGGACAAGGACATCTGATGGGAGTTTTTCGCTGAAGTCCGCTTATATGGCCATATCCAGGGGTAACGAGGAATCTACCAATTTACCTTGGAATCGCGTTTGGCAGTGGCATGGACCTGAACGGATTCGTACGTTCCTTTGGCTGTTATTAGGAGATAAAATTTTGACAAATGAAAGGCGTTGCAGACGGCACATGGCGGGTTCAGATATATGTCATATGTGCAATTGTTTTACGGAAACTTTCTTACATGCGGTTAGAGATTGTATTGCAGCAAAAAAAGTGTGGGAGATTGCAGTTAAGCGAGAGGCTTGGGAGGATTTTTTCTCTCTTAATCTTCAGCAATGGGTGTTGTCCAATATCTCTGAGGATCGTAATTGGTCCAATTTGCCATCATGGCCTCTTCTGTTTGGTATCATTTCCTGTTTCATTTGGCAAGCTAGGAATAAGAAAATTTTTCAGGGATCTTCTGTTCCTGCTTATGGCACTTTTAGAGCTGCTATGGTCTATGGTAAAGATTTTTCTTGGTCAGAAAACACGCTTCGGGTTGCTGGTCTTGAGACTAACTCGAATAAAGAGAAATTAGTTTCTTGGGTTTTTCCTTCGGACCCTTGGGTTAAGCTCAATGTGGATGGGTCAAGTATGAATAATGGAGAAGCTTCTGCTTGTGGGGGTGTATTTAGGAATGCTAGTGGAAGGTGGCTTGTTGCCTTTTGTAAAAATCTTGGCTGTGGTAATGTTTTGTTAGCAGAACTTTGGGGTTGTCTCCTTGGGCTTGAGATTGCATGGAGGAAAGGTTTCCGTTTTGTCTGGCTTGAAGGTGATTCCTTAGTAGCCCAGCTTTTCATAAGAGAAGGGTGCAGCTCTCATCATCCAGCCTCTAACTTGGTCTTGCGCATAAGGAATATGCTGGATTGGAATTGGAGGGTTAGAATTTCCCATATTCATAGGGAAGGGAATGGGGTTGCCGATTGGATGGCCTCTTTTGCCTACTCCTTTGATTGGTCTTTACAAGAGTTTGACTCGCCTCCTTCTGGTTGTCGTGACAAACTTGAAAGGGACTATGTAGGAGTAGTTTGGTCTAGGAGGTGTTCCTAGTTTCTTTTTTTGTTTTTATGTTTCCTGTTTGCTTTTCAAAAAAAATTCCCAACAACCTACCTTTGAATCCTCATGAGACTAGGTCTCTACCTAGTCAAGATTCTGAACTAATGGTCATCATATGACCATCCTATTCATGCGCCCCATTCAGCCCCAAAAGGGGTCCAGATACTTTGAGCTGTTGCATTCAAGTTTGAACCAACTAGGTCACTGATTCTCTCAACAACCAAATCTGATTGGAGGTTGTTTGTTTGAAAAAGATGACACTCATCTCCAACCAAAGTGGCGCCCCAAATCAGCCTTTGGAGATCTCCATAGATCTTCTCTTGATACAAGGAATTTGTTCCAACAAGATCTCATCTTATCCTTTTGTTATGAAACAACTTTTCATAGCCAATTCAAATTCGAATTCAAACATTTAAATTCAAATGTTCAAACATTTAAATTCTAAATTCAAATTCAAATTTCAAATTCAAATTTCAAAATTCAAATTTTGAAATTCAAATTTCAAAATTCAAATTCAAATTCAAAATTTGAATTTCAAAATTCAAATTTCAAATTCAAAATTCAAAATTTAAATATTTGATAATTAATTTAACCAATTAAATTAATTAGTAATGTCTTGGACCATCCAAGCCCATTAACTATACCATGCGCCCTCTCCCTCTTAGGTGGGCTTCCAAACTTCATCTTGGGCTAACAACCATTATTAGGCCTAATACCTTTAATGCTAGATCATCATGACAATAAGGTGTTAGTGTGTGACCTATTAGGTCCAACATAGCCACTGACATAAATGGGCTTGGGCCCAATAAGCCCACAATCCATTTAATGACAACAAAGAGCACTAGCAATGCTTTGTTGCCCCAGAGCTAGTTAGATTAATGACTTGATCATCCTATTACACATATTTGGTTGCCGTATATATTTCATTTCGTCTCGGTTACCTTCCCATTAAACCTAGGGTAAGAAAACGTATCAACCCTTGCGGTTTAGGGTAAGCTTTATTCGAAATAGGGAATCTTCAATTTACTGACTCTAAAGACAGATCATCTCATGATCTCTTCTACTATGCATAGATTCCCGAGTCCCTGTAAATGTCATCCCGATTTCTCTGGTTTACAGATAACCTAATCTCTCACAGAGATTTGACGAATTCCTTCAGCTTATCACCCTAGCCCTGTGCTCTTTCAGGACAAGCTCAACAGTATACCTATGAGTCTCCATGTTTCAGGCAGACGAGGTATACAGTCAAAGCATGTCTTCTAGAACACAGTCTAGGTAATAACTTCTGGTCTAAGGAAAGACATACCCAAATGTAAAGAGACTACTCTAATGATACTCTCTGTGAGATTTCCTCATAGAGTCTCTTTGTAGGTCTATTCAGTGCGAGCTATACCCTTATAGGTCCACCCAAGACTTTAGCTAAGACATCTCCATATCTGTAGCTCATGAAGTCTTTACCTTGCATCCGAATACAAGTAGATAAGTCGTGCTAGTCTTACCCGAGATCACTAATCCCCATTCTCAGTGTCTCTAGACTAGGAACATAAAATTAGGAATAAACATCTGGTATCCTTAAATCCTCATGATCGTGATCTCATCACAGATACTTAAGAGATATCTATTTTATTCTAAGGGGTTTATCCAGTTTATTCATAATATATTAACAATAATATCGAGACTAAATATGAAACAGGATAAAGAGTGCTTATTATTAATTTGCGACAAAAAGGTCTACATCCTATGTCCTTATTTAATAAAAAAGATTGTCTCTAGGACACCCATATACTAACAAGCTCCCACTTGGCCTAGAGCTAATCAGACCTAAGTCGTATACCCAAAGCCTCATAATGACTATCATGTTTTCTCTGAGAAACAGCCTTTGTCAGAGAATCAGCTAGGTTATCATCTGTGGGAATATATTCCATCTTTACATCCATCCTATCAATGATTTCTCTAATCAGGTGATATCTGCGGAGCACGTGCTTAGATCTTTGATGAGACCTAGGTTCCTTTGACTGCGCAATGACTCCAGTGTTGTCGCAAAGCAACTGTATGGGCTCATCCACGCTTGGAACCACCCTAAGTTCATATATGAACTTCTTGATCCACACGGCCTCCTTAGCTGCTTCTGAAGCAGCTATATATTCAGCTTCTGTCGTTGAATCTGCTGTTGTCTCCTGCTTGGAACTCTTCCAAGATACTGCCCCACCATTTAAGGTGAATACGAACCCTGACTGTGACTAGCAGTCATCTTTGTCACTCTGAAAGCTGGCATCAGTGAACCCTTTCATTGTTAGCTCATCAACCCCACCATAGACCATAAACGCATCCTTAGTTCTTCTTAAGTATTTAAGGATGGTCTTGACTGCTGTCCAGTGACCCTCTCCAGGGTCCGACTAGTATCTGCTCGTAATGCTCAAAGCATATGAGACATCTGGTCTCGTACATATCATGGCATACATGATGGATCCAATAGCCGAAGCGTATTGAGTTCCACTCATGCGATCCTTTTCAGGCTCTGTGACTTAGGGCACATAGCCTTTGAAAGATGTACCCCATGACTGACGAGAAGAAAACCCCTTTTCGACCATTCCATGCTAAATCTCTTTAGCATCTTGTCAACATACGTGGATTGAGATAAACCCAGCAGCCTCTTGGATCTATCTCTATAGATCTTTATACCAAGTATAAAGGCCGCTTCTCCCAAATCCTTCATGGTGA